ACATAAACGTGTTAATAGAATGGCAGAGAGGAAACAAGTTTATCTCCCTCATTACTCTTCCCACTTTTTCCTATTAATTGTTTTTAAAGTTACCCCTTTTTGATTTGTCCCACTTTCTCACCCTCCCTTCCATCCACCCAACTCTCCTTATCTCTTTCAGAGTTTCTGCCACCTTTATTTACCTCTCTCACACCTCTGTTGCTGTTTTTGCTGGGTGACTCTTGGCCCCGCCTCATTGACTTGCGTCAGCCAGAGCCACTGATCCAAGAGGGCATTTTTCTGTTTACCCTCCATTTACCAAAAGTGTGATGTCATTTAAAGAACATCATGAAGCTAATCAGATAGATTATAATAGCAAACGGTGGGTATTATACTGTATAATTTAAAAAGACTCCCACTTCACTGTATTCCTGATAATGTTTTATTTGCTTTTGAAAATCAATAGAAAAGTGGATTTAGAGAACAGTTCCCTGTAAAGCTGTTTATCATACAAGTTTGCCTGATACTCTTCTGTAAATATACATTTGTTTGATCTGTAAATTGATCTCTTTCCTCAGCGGCTTCTAAGCCATCAGTAAAGGCTTGTCCTGAGGACGGAGTCATGACCCTCAAGAGGAGGAGAGGAGCTTTCAGGCAACCCAAGGTTCACTTAATCAAGAACCATGAGTTCACTGCCACCTTCTTCGGCCAACCCACCTTTTGCTCGGTGTGCAGGGAGTTTGTCTGGTGAGATGCCAGCTTCTGCCTTTGCTGTGTGACATCTGTCACCACTATACCACTGTTATGGTTTTATACTTTAGCTGCTAAAGTCATCAAATACTTCTTTCATTTTGCTCTTCAGTGTGTTTGAATTCCAGGAACTAACTATGGTGGTAATTTAAAATTAAGAAATCCTGCTTTGTTGGAGCATGTCTCATCCATAGGAAGCTAATTTGCTGGTCTGCTTGTTTTTCTATGTTATTATTGCAAGTCAGCATTTTGTTTTAATTAAGATGCCACTGGCACAGTTTTAATAATTTCAGTTGTGCCTTCCCCTACTGTATATTCTCTGGGTGCCAAACGGGACAAAAACATCACTTGTCCAATAGCAGAAGTCCAGTTCCCAAGGGTGTTTCTCAAAAGACCAATTAGTAGAGGTTCTAGTTTTCTAAATGGGGGATGTCTTGGGGGGTTAGTAATGGTAGAAACAACAGCCGATCTCCTATTGTGACACCGAGTCACTGTCTAGGGAAATTCTACAGGGATACTGTGTTGTGTTCCAACTATGTCAGCAGGTGTGAGCCAAGCTCTTCCCCTTTGTCCAAAACTACAGCATTATCTATTCCTTTAGAAAGAGGCAAGGAGAAATCTGAGGGGGTTTTGCCTGTTTTATTCTCTTGAACTAAGATGTGAAAGATAACTTCCAGTTACTTTGATAACAAATGTCAAACCCCTGAGTCTCTCATGCTTGTTTCTTTCTTTTTTATATTTGCATAATACTCTGGATAAAGATTTGCAGACAGTACAGATGTAGTTTGGTAACTGTTGTGTAAAGGGGGCAGTAAACCTTTACTTTTATGCTGCTAATTATCTGCATGCTAGCTATAGTACATCATTGTTATAACTGCAGTCTAGTTAAAGAAAGTATAGCACTCTAATATCAGCAGTCATAGTGGCGTAGTTATAGAAAAAAGTTTTTATGTCACACTTTACATCACACATTTAATTTCTTTTTTCATGTAGGGGACTCAACAAGCAAGGTTACAAGTGCAGACGTGAGTGTTTGGTGTTTGTTCAACTGCTGTCGCCATTTCTGTCACATTTAATCCTTTTGTATTCTCCACAATTCACACAATATTTGGTCATTTATTTCACCCAGAATGCAATGCCGCAATCCACAAGAGATGCATTGAAAAAATCATTGGCAGGTGCACCGGAACAGCTGAAAACAGTCGTGAAACTATGGTGAGCAAAGTTAATGTTCTCAAACATGAATGCCAATCATCACCTTAGACCTGATCTTCACCTACATTTTGGTTTACAGTGTTAGTCTGTTGTTCCTTTTTGTAGTGATGGTTTAATAACGACTTTGTATTCTCTCCTGCTTTATTTTATGACTTACTGTATGTTTAATGCGTTGTTATGAAGTAGTCTATTAATCAATATGCTTTTTCTTACACAAAATATTATGGCATGTTTTTCACGATTTAAGGCTCTAATTCTTTAGCATTTATTACAGTGTACAGATCAGCAAATTCAATATGTGGACATATGGAGATGTGTGTTTAAGTAGTGGCAGGGGTTTTTTCCCCTGCCACTAAAAAGCAACAAAACCCAGCAAAGCCTACTGTATAATCAATCAGATAGCAGCTTTTGGTTGATTTAATGGATTTATGTGTTTGTAGTTCCAGAAAGAGCGTTTCAAGATTGATATGCCTCATCGCTTCAAGTCCTATAACTACAAGAGCCCCACGTTCTGTGACCACTGTGGCAGTCTGCTGTGGGGTCTATACAAACAGGGCCTTAAATGTGAAGGTGAACCCACTGTGTTCATTGTTTGTGTAATGTGATTGGCACAACTCCTACGTATATCTGCCCTTCTCCTGCATTGTCTCATACCTCCTGACATTTTTCTCTTTGGTCCCCTTTCTCCATTTGATTAACCATCCTTTGCACCTCTGAGCAGACTGCGCCATGAACGTACACAGTTACTGTCAGGCAAAAGTGGCCAATCTGTGTGGAATCAACCAGAAATTACTGGCCGAGGCTCTGTCACAAGTCACCCAGGTTTGCACAGTAAAAACAGCTTATTTTAATTTGTTCAGACATTTCATTCCAGTCAGTGTTAAAAATAATAATAATAATAATAATAATGACATATTAGTGTTTGTGGATGTACAGAGTGAAGAATATACATTTTACCTCTCTAGAAATCTTCGAAGAAGTTGGATAACTCCAATGCAGCAGATATTGGGATCTACCAAGATGTCAGAAGTGCAACAGCAGACCCTGGTGGTAAGATATGTTCAATGTAGCACACTGGAAGACACAGTTGTTGGATTTAACTCAGGTTTTATCTCTAAAGGTAAAGTAGGTGTGGTACTGTCGCTGATAGTCTGTTTAACTCAACTTATGTTCTCAAGTCTTTAATCGTTGTATGAGTTTACATGCATCTTTGCATTTCAGTTTGCATATATATTTACGTATTTATGTGTATTCAAATGTGTATTTTACAGCAGGTAACAATAGTGAGGCACGTGAGGCCACATCTGCAGCTCCTCGGGTACACCTCACATTGAACCATCTGGTGTTCCACAAAGTGCTGGGCAAAGGCAGCTTTGGCAAGGTATGGCTCATGGTCCCTGTCTTTAAATCTTGTCCTAAATAGGAAATGATGTATAGACACAAAAGTTAAAGATGCTGTAAACTCAAAACATTGCAAGAACTTGTTTCTGCCAATGATGTTTACACATATGTTGTAAAAAAAAATTTAAATAAACATTCATTCTGACAATGTGAACATGTTGGCTTTGTAGATGAACATAAACTAACAAATCTAAACATGAAAAGAGACAGCAAGAGGTCCAGATGCATTTCAAACCTGCATGTTTTGTATTTTAAGCAGTTTGGAAACATAAAAGGTGACATTTACTGAGGGAAAAAAAATGTGTGAGGATGTTTGTAAAAGATGAAAGCTGAATTCTAATATGAGAAACCTCTGAGGGGCATGTCTTTCATAGTCTGATTCTTATCATATAATCATCTGATAGTGTACATCAAAGTCTGTCACTCTCCTTCCTTGTTTTATAATGTATTGCCGCCTCAGCTGTAGCCTCATTTTTGATAAACTAGGCTAGAGAAACCTTACTAGATCAATACATCCCCCACTACCTGTTAAATTACTTCGCCCACATTCAGTTTGGAGCAGGAGATGGTTTTCAGATGAGAAAAGGGCTTTGTGATTCATCCATCACTATCAATGCCAGGCAGCATTTAAGAAAACCATACAGCCTATGAGGATTGATCTATTTGAAGAAAGCAGAGAAGCAGAGTACAGGAGGCTCCTTTATGTACAAGACCATTGTAACCAGTACGAGAAGAAGCAGTGGTGCCAGCAGCCAGAATCCTGTGCGTACATTTATTTAATTGATTTTTGCTCAGTTTTTACATTACTGGCTTCTGGCAGTCATTGCACGATCAACATATACTATAGTATACAAGTACAGTATACAAGAAAAAGTGTGTGAACCTTTTGGAATTTCATGGTTTTCTGCATTAATTTGTCATAAAATGTGATCTGATACTGACGAATATAATGTGCCTAATATAACAACACAAAAAAAATCAGATCTTTCATGTCTTTATTGAGAACAACCATAAAACCATAAAAACCTCATAGTGCTAGTGGAAAAAGTATATGAACCCTTGAGCTAATGACCTCAAAACTTAATTGGATTCAGGTGTTAGTATACCTGGAGTCTTGTTAAGAAAATGAGTTTGGAGGTGTGGACTAGAGCTGCTTTGACTGATGAAAACCACTTAAACCTTTTGAGTTTGCTCCACACAAGAAGAATATGCTTATGTGAGCCATGCCTCACCAAAAAGAGTTTTCAGAGGATCTATGATCAAGAATAGTTGATTTACATAAAGCTGGAAAGGTTTATAAAGTGATTTCAAAGATGTTAGAAATTCACCAGTCTACAGTTAGGCAAACGATCTACAAATGGAGACACTTTGGGACTGTGGCTACTCTACCAAGAAGTGGGTGCCCAGTCAAAATGACCCCAAGAGCACAACGAAGACTCATCAGTGAGGTAAAGAAACAACCCAGAGTGACAGCCAAAGATTTGAAGGCATCATTGGAACTGGATAGCATCTTTGTTCATGAGTCTACAGTACATAGGAAGTTTGCAAAAGAGCAAATTGACACTCCACAGCGGTATTGGCAAAATGTTTTATGGACTGATGAAACTAAGAGTGAACTATTTGGAAAGAACACGCAGCACTACATCTGGCGTAAAAAGGACACTGATTATCATGATGAAAACATCCCAACCGTAAAGTATGGTTAAGGAAACATCATGATTTGGGCCTGCTTTGCGGCATCAGGGCCTGGCAGCTTGCAATCATTGAGGGGAAGATGAATTCCTAAGTGTACCAAAAAAATTCTTCAGGATAATGTGAGAATGTCTGTACATCAGCTGAAACTCTGTAGATGTTGGGTGATGCAACAGGACAATGACTCAAAACACCAGAGCAAGTCCACAACAGAATGGCTTCAGAAAAACAAAATCTGCCTTTTGGAGTGGCCAAGTCAGAGCCCAGACCTCAACCCAATAGAGATGCTATGGAATGACTTGAAGAGAACCATACACCGGAAATGCCCAAAGAATATGACGGCACTAAAGCAGTTCTGCAGGAAGAATGGGCTAAAATTCCTCCTGAACAATGTGCAGGTCTGATCCACAGCTACAGGAAGCGCCTGGTTGAGGTTATTGCTGCCAGGGGGGGGTCAACCAATTCCAAGGGTTCACTGCCATTTTGAATGTTGAATGAGTGTCTTCAATAAAGGCATGAAAGATCAGAATGTTTTTTGTGTTGTTTTTGTAGGCACATTATATTCATCAGTACCCTTGACTTAGATGAAGATCAGATCACATTTTATGACAAATTAATGCAGAAAACCATGAAATTCCAAAAGGTTCATGTACGTTTTCTTGCCACTGTATATATACATAAATATAGTTTCAAATACAGTATATGGCCCAAAGAGCTATCTAATATGGTATCACACACTGATTTTTACCTGCTATCAATAATGCCTGTAACATCACCAGAACATGTGCAGGCTATTTTTTATTTATCGTGGCTCATAAGCTACATTCATGTGTTACTGTTTTTTGTGTGGATTTAAGTGTCTGAGCTGCAATTCTTGAGGACCGGCTCGAGTGCAGCCCCTAAAGGCAACACTGGTCATCATGTGGAAATGCTGAATGAGCTACGAAGGTGTTGGGTCATTCACACCGAGCTGTGCAGGGCTCATGCTATAACAACAAAATACAGCATGCCATAATAACAAGAACATACTGTATGTCAACATGAAAGTTCTCATGTTTTAATGTGAAAATATCTTGAAAAAACAAGAAAAGTGTCTTGTTATAATAAGATACTACTGTACTTTTTTTCTCATGGTAGTAGCAGTATTCTGCCATAAGTGGTTCTTATGCATGTTAAGAAATACAGTATAATCCTGCCAGTGCTCCTGGGATGAAATACTCAAATTGTTTACTTAAGTAAAAGTATTATTATGTACATATATTTTTATATTGAATTGTTTAATATTCATGGTCTTTTTGTCTACTGTAGCAATGAGATTTCTCCCTGGGAGATTAATACATTTCTATGTACAGTATCTATCTAAAAGGTAGCAATACCACAATGGGAAAATACTCTGTTACAAGTAAACGCCCTGCATTCAAAATGTTATTTAAGTGAAAGTAAAGTATTAGCATCACAATATACCTGAAGTGCCAAAAGTAAAAGTCCTCATCATACAGAATAGCACATTTTACAGGAATGTGTATTATATTATTAGATAAATATGGATGCATCATTGCGTACATCACATTTAATGTTGCAGCTGGTAAAGGTGGAGCTAATTTTAACTGCCATATATGTTTATTATATGATGTACTGCTGGATACTGTAGCTTGTGAATTTCCCTCTGAGGATCATAAAGTCTGATAATTATATTGTATTCTGAAAAGTAACTAGAAACTAAAGTTGTTCAATAAATTAGTGAAGTAAAAAGTATAATATTTGCCTCAAATGTAGTGGAATCGAAGGATTAAATAGCAGAAAATATAAAAATACTCAAGTAAAGTACAGATATCTCAGTTGTAATTGAGTAAATGTACTTGGTTACTTTGCACCACTGGTTGTACCCTGGTGGCAATGCATTCTCCATCCAGTGTTCTCACTGAGATACTGTATGTTGAGACTGAGCATGTAAAACAGCTAAAGAAGTAGAACAGATAACTTCCTTTAGAGTTTGATTTTCTGTGATTGTACTCCATGAAAACTGCTGTGATGACACTGAAGAAGTACTCACTAAATGACTCTGACATCCCAGGTGCTGCTGGCAGAGCTGAAGGGCAAGGGTCAGTACTTTGCCGTGAAGGTTCTGAAAAAGGATGTAGTTCTCATGGACGATGATGTGGACTGCACTATGGTGGAGAAACGAGTCCTGTCCCTCGCCTGGGAGAACCCCTACCTCACACAGCTCTACTCTACATTCCAGTCTAAAGTAGGCACACACATACTGAACATGTATGCTAGTAAAAGCTTACAAAGCATGCTCCCAGTTAGAGAATCAACCCACAGAGATTAAGAATAACAGTTCCCAGTTGTTGATAAAAACCCATGCTAACAGCCCCCTTTATCTGAATCCATTCTTTCTCTCACACACACATTCTTCATGTCTCATTTATCTGCAAAAGTGAGCTGAGTAATGTGCTGTTTACACAGGAGCACCTCTTCTTTGTAATGGAGTACTTGAATGGCGGCGACTTGATGTTCCACATCCAAGACAAAGGCCGCTTCGATCTCAATAGAGCTGTGTGAGTAGAAAGGGATACCATGTAAACAACTATAAGTGTGACAGCAGTTGTCATATTCTACAATGGAAGATATGTAACTTTAGCTCTTCATAAGAGTAGAACTGCGTTTAACAGTTGTTTTGCACATTTCAACCTTCAGATTCTATGCTGCTGAGATAATAGTGGGACTGCAGTTCCTCCACTCAAGAGGAATTATCTACAGGTAAGTCCCATGAGCCACTATGCACTGATGTCTGCTGTCCTTTCAGTCAACTGCAACACTGTAGACTGGAAACGACTGCAGTACTTCTAGCAGAATACATAGTTGCAGAACAGTTTCTACAGTGTTTGTATTTCTTTCTGTGTTATCCACAGAGATCTGAAGCTGGACAATGTGATGCTGAACAAGGATGGACACATAAAGATCGCAGACTTTGGCATGTGTAAAGAGAACGTGTTTGGAGAGGCCAGAGCCACAACATTTTGTGGGACACCAGACTATATTGCACCAGAGGTTAGTTTCAGGGCCTGGCTGATAGCACACTTTGTAGTTTCATACACTACCTTTCCTTCAAAATCTTTAAAGCATATTTGTATTATTCTGCCATTTTTTAAAAACTCGAATCACCTGACTCAACTAGCCAAGCAATAATTTTTTTTGTTCCACAGTATATATGGCCCCTAGTGCCTATTAGGAGACACTGTAATGTCCAGTGATAACACTAAGCCGGGGCTGTTCACTTGGCTCCTAACATGCCTGGTTGTCTTCATTGTCCTCACTTACTTATGATATACCTTGTTAAATTGTCTCTTTTTTTCAGATCCTGCTGGGACAGAAGTACACCTTCTCAGTGGACTGGTGGTCTTTTGGTGTGCTGGTGTATGAGATGCTGATTGGCCAGTCTCCCTTCCAAGGTGATGACGAGGATGAACTGTTTGAATCCATTAAGTCAGACACTCCTCATTACCCTCGGTGGATCACTAAGGAGGCCAAGAACCTGCTTGAAAAGGTGAATAATTAATGTTATTAGGCGCACTTTGTCCCATACGTGCTAACATAGCACTTGCATTATACACGATTTGGTGTCATAGGTGTCATTTGGTGTCGTCTTTTTCATGCTCTAGTGTTAAAGGGAGTTGTTTTTATTGTTGTTTCTGTAAATGACATTGGTTGTCTCTTGTCATTATTTCAGTTGTTCGAACGAGATCCCACCCGCAGGTTGGGGGTGGTGGGAGACATCCGTGCACACCCATTCTTCAAAGCCATGAACTGGCCAGCACTAGAGCAGAGAGAAGTGGAGCCCCCTTTCAAGCCCAAAGTGGTATGAGCCTGTGATTTTTTTTTTTCTTTTTTTAGTAATTCATTTGTGTATATAATTGCATTCCCCTAGGATTACATTTTTATCAGTATGCTTTGCTCCAATTAATCTAACTGGCATCCCTGACCTGCCCCACACAGAAATCAGCCAGTGACTGCAGCAACTTTGACCGAGAGTTCTTGAGTGAGAAGCCACGGCTCTCCCATGGTGACAAAAACCTCATTGACTCCATGGACCAGGCCGCGTTTGCTGGATTTTCCTTTGTCAACCCAAAACTGGAACAGATGATAAGTAAATGAAGAGACAAAATGAACATGATCCTAGGTCAGCACTTAAAAATAGGTTTTTGTCCTATTCTCTTTATCTTCATAAGGTCTAACTTCAACTGGATGGATAAAAGGAACATAAAAAGATTTGAGCTTGACTGTGACTTTTGCGTTTTTTTTTTATCAGAGAATGAAATAAGAAAATACCAGGATGCCTGCTGGTGTCTAAAGCAGTAACCTGGTATCAGCTGTCACACTGTAATATGAAAGAATATAAAGCTCCAGGAAATTAAGGGAGATTATTAAGAAGCCAATGTAACCATAATCAATGCCAGTGATTTCTTTGGTTGACATAACTCTTTGTGATCACACTGAATCTGTACGAATCATTCACTGTACTGTATATTGAAATTTCAATTCATAGGCAAAATGGCACCCTTATTTAGTTAAACAGATATATACACCCAGCATCACACATGCAATACCAGAGTTCAGTGGCACATACAGGATTCATGCTCTCAATTTGTGCCAGGACATCCAGTCTGTGTGTGCTTATGTGTTACCACATGTATACAGGTTTTCATTGATGGAAATGGTGCTGCTCTACTCTAAACTATGCTGTTTTTGAATGAACCCTTGGTTGATCCAGGCATAGAAGAATTCTACTATAATGGCGGGAGAGACCTTGAGGTGGTTGTGGAGGTGAATAGTTTCCCCCTCTCTGACTTTTCTGTCCTAAGAAAGTCTTGAGTCTTGAGATGATCTATTTTTTTAAATTTAGGACATATTTCAACATAGTTGTCTACAAAATGCAAACAATTGTTAAATACTTTTCTGGGCTGTCATCAGACTTACTGGAAAGAACTGCAGCAATGATATGATATGTATGGTACATATAAATGTACTATACCGGTACATTTATATGTGTTGAAGAATGTTATTTTGCATTGTAGGGAGGAGCATTTCCCTGTAGACATGGGTTTTTGAAGTATGTTATGTTACTTGAATGTAGGAATTTTTACAATTTAAAAAATTGTGCTGTATATGCAACATTAATATGTATGTCGCTATGAGCTGTCTGTGAATTGGGGTGTACTTTTTTACTCTTCTCATCTTTTACATAGATTATAAATAAATATACTATAAACTCATGTTACTGGTTGTCCAGATGAATTCATTTTGCATTTCACTTACATTTATTGTAGACTTGTGTCACAAGGCTTCATAAGGTCCTACTGTAAAAAACCCACATACCAAATTCAATAGTAATCACTGTGTTCCTGTTGTGACTGTGTTGTTCCTGTTGTTTCCTGGTTGTTGCCGGTTTGCAACAATTGTTTATTATATTCTTCCTTTGCCTTCATCTTACACCATCGATGCTTCTGCAGTACCTCATCCGAGAACATGAGAATTCCTGTGTAAGGCCAGCAGAACTTTCCCAAGTGCCACAGGGATTTTGACAATATGAGAGGAGGACCTGTCAGGCCTTACTGGCATCTAGCGGTCAGGTGGTCACTTCTCTTGTTAAAAGGTTGACAACAGGCGATGAGTCATTCCTGCAGTTCGCACGGCTTATGACCTGTCCTCGTCCTCTGTCCCCAGCACTAATCCACCGTCTGCTGCAGGATGTGGACACTGACCAAATACCAAACATGAAGCAAAGCACAGCAATCTGCACTGAGAGATAAAGTATGAGCCTGTGAGCAAAACACCCTTTATGCAAAACACCCTTAAGCCCAATGCAACAATAAAGTTGAAGACCCTTTAAAAATAAAATGACCATAAACAATTGTCAGGCTGCATGATGCAAAAAGCGAAAGAAGGTTTACTTGTGAGTTGTGATTATTTACTAAACCCATTTTTCTAATACTGATTTTATATTCTAGTCTGAAAGCTTTGCGGAGAGAGCACCTCTACACTTAAATAAAATGACTGAATGGATTTCGGAGTGAATGCCTGCCCCCTTTTGATTTATTCATGTCTCTATGGTTGTTTCGTCTATTCGTTGAAGATCCGATCGCTTTTCTGTAGCCAACATTCATTGGACCTTTGCCATCTTAACGAACGTAAAACGCATTTTTATTTCTTTTGTTAAAATAGGCATCCAAAAGGTTGGTCTGTTGGAAGATTATCTGAGGCAGTAGCCCATATATGGTCCAAGTGAGCGGCAGACAACGGATTAGGCTTCAAGACTCATAGAAACGCCTTTCCAAACGAGAAACACACTAAATTAATGGAGAAAGCAAATAGTAAATACAGAACAGATGGACTTTGAGAATTGCATACACAATGTTAGCGCATATTTCCAGCAGTTTCACCCGTTGTCTCCCCATCAAAACCCGACTTGAGATCCTTTTGCAGCAGAAGTATCAGCAATGACACATAGAATTCTTATCCAGTCACTGGGTGTTAATGTGATTTATTTAAAAGTAGTGGTTCATTCTTTGTTCATAGCGCATCGTGGGGTATTAATTTATAGCCTACTTAAAAATGACTACATTGAAGGGACATTAAGCAACTCGAGGTCATATTCAATAACACAATGTATAGACAACTTCATTATAAAACGAACTGATTTTTCGTGGCAAAAAACCCACTGCACTTATCGAAAGTGGGTCGATTATATGTGCAATTAATTCCAGCTCAGCCGTTAACTAAGTGTTGATTCCGCGGGGGATAAAAGCCTGTAACGACGAATCAGGCTCGCCCTTCCTGTTTATAAGATTTAATGCAGACAAAAGCCAGTCTGTTTTTTCTTTTCTATTGTGTGTGGGTTACAGATTTTAGTCTTGATCCTGGTGGTTTGATATTTTATTGTGTGTGTGTGTGAAGATGGAAGTCAGTGTGATGCAGCCGGACTCAGAGGCATATAGGCGGCAGAACATGCGCAGTGGCCATTTGTGCCATATTGGAATGAGGTCGTGAACGAGAACTGCGTCAAGCTCGCGAGACTCTGCTAGAACAATACCGGAAGTAGAGGGATTTTATTATCAACACAAAAAGCTCCGCTGTTGCTTGGACGACACTTGTAACGCCAGCTCTTGCAACCATTTTATTGTGAAACATTTAACTGGGACTCCCGGTTTTTACTCGCGGTGATTAACATTAGTGCGAGCGAGCAGGCGGAGAGGAACGGCATCTAAAAACCGACTTGGAAAAACTACTTAGCGGTAAGAGGCGTATTTTGCGACTAAATATTCAAATACTCCGTGTAGTTTGTTACAAATTCCTAGCGGTGTTTTGTATTGTAGTGCCGCGTTCGTCTTTTTTCCCGTCTCTCAAAAAGACGAGTCGGGTTCGGTGGAGTGTAAGCGCCCTTATTGCTCGTCAGCCTGCTCTTATTGCTCAAGCTGTGACGTTCAGTAACTTGACTCGGACACAGGCGATTTTACCATGTGTACAGTGAATCCCACACGGCCGTTATGCATTTAGGACCGCATGTTTATTCAATAGGCAGCCGTTTAATCATCCCCTTAATCGGTATGCGTCCTGTTCTCCTCAGAGTGAAAGTTAGACCATCGGCTTTATAGTCTCTTTGCGGAGCCATTGCGTTAATGGCCCATCTCGGTTTCTGAATGCTGCGGTTCGTCTGTACACACAGTGCAATCTTAAGCTAGTTACAGTTCAAGAGCATTGTGTGGAATTTTCCAGTGATTTATCCTTGAATAACTCAGTATATTTATAGTGTCGAAATCTTACATAATGAAGGTTGCACGACCTCAGTCGATGTGTTTCAGTGTAGCTCTCGCAAAACGGGCTGCATAAACTATTTTGTTTATAACATCATGCTATTCCTTTAAAAATGACTTTAGGGACTGATAAACAGGAGGGCGCTCAGTAGCTTCTCATTTTGTAGTCATCTTCTACACTGATTTAATAGCAACCCATTTTTCCTGTGGCTCTTAACTTCCCCATTGTGCAACTTGAGTGATCCGCTGGCAGCAGTGCTCCCGTTGACGTGCCGCTATGCAAATGGAAAGAACAGCATTATTGCAACTAAATGGAGCAATAGGATGAAACAGCTTTGTTATTTATGCATGCAAATGTGGATTTTTCATTTCAGCATCCCGTTTGGTTTCAAGCTACGGCAGGATGGGCAGAGCTTGGTGGACTGCTCTCCTCTGAGCAGCCCTGCTCTGATCTGTTGAGCTTTAGTGCAACCATTTGTTAACAAGCATAACGTCCATACTAATGCTTTTGGGCTATTTAAAGTTATTCACATCACATAGGCAGATTTAAGGTATCCTGGAAACCTGAAATTTGCTTCTCAGCCATATTATATTTTCAAGACTGACTTGGAGTTTTAACCTACTTCACTTTCATTTACCAGCATTTTTAAGGATAATTTCACCCAAAATGCAACCCCCTTACATGTTCTGGTTTGTGTAGTGCCAGTGGTCCATTCAACCAGCTGGCTGAAACATCTGTCCGTTAGAGTTCGGCCACCGCTTCAAATCATTGAAGGTTAATGAATTTTCACCAATGGCGATTACACTGCTGAACATATATCTTAGAAAATGTTATCAGCAGCATCTGTTCCAATCAGGATAAACAACGGACTTTAAACATTTTTCATTGGAACTCTTTCTTCAAAAGATATTCCAATAAAAACTGTTCATCGAGAACTATTGATTATTTAGAAGTCAGTGAGCTTTATAGTGCTAATAATAAATATCATATCATGTTGATTCACAGTATTGGAACAGCTGAAATAATATCAAGAACAACAAATCAGTGCTTTTCTGAAAATAGGTTTGCATATATTAAAGTGTGGACACTAAGAGTAGGACAGTTTTCTGCTACATTACAGCTTATAATGTAAAGCCATCTACTGGTGATCAGCAATAGTGTTAGGGGAAATGTTTCAACAGCCGATTTAATTGTATTGAATGCTAAATGACGAACACTGGGTGTGTGACCGTGTATGTTATCAGATTGCATTTCCCGCCAGGGACCTCAGAGGTTCAGGCAGGCTTGTTTAGAAATGCTCAACCACATGCTAAGTGCTGATGAGAATATGATTCAGTAAGTGCTCATAAAGAGGCTGTAGTGTGGATCTCAGTTGTTTGTGTTTGTGTGTGTGTGTGTGCTTGTTTGTTTGCGTGGGTGTGCGCACACTTTGCCCTTTCTGTCTTAGGTTCAGTCAGTCTCGGGTGGTGCAGAAATATTCAGGCAGACAACTGCTAGCTCAGGGTCACACAGACCATTAACTATACGGAACAGAGGAAGTTGATTTTCTTCCTGTGCTGTTTGACTAACTTAAGTGCTGCAGAAAACCCCCAGCTTCAACAGTCGCACGAGTTAGAGCAGATACTGAAAGCATTCTTTATAAACTTCTAAAGATAGTTGTCAGAAATGTTGCAGTCAGTACGCTATGCCACTCAGAGGTATTACTCAAACACAGACACTATGTTATGCATTGGAGAAGTAAGCTTGTTCAAGTTGTATCAAAAGCAATCACAACCAGAAAAATGCTGAAACATTTAGCACAGAATACAATCCCAGGAACTCATAGGTAGAAATATCAGAAGTAGAAACAGAATCCACTTTTTCAATGAATTCATAAATGGCCTCATATATAAATATCAGGTCTCTTAACTTTAGGCCTGTATTTCTATTTGTGTCCCCAGTGCTTTCTTCCACCCTTATGTTAGGATCATGACCCCCGGGGACAATGAGGCCCTCTGGTGTGTATGTGTCTGTCAGAGGGAGGGGGAGAAAGACAGAGAGTCTGGGGCAGGATTGTGGGGTGAAAAGCGGTGCTGATCCCGGTGAAGCGCGGGGGTCGCGGTGGCAGTCCGGTGGTCATGAGGGGGTGGTTTCTGATGGCGGCTCTGGTTTTAATAGAGACGTCAAGACGTGACAAAGACGAGCCTGACAGGCCGGCTCAATGGATCTCCCATGACAGAGCAGCTATCTTACACTGCCGTCACGCCCAGCTCTCCCTTCTTTCTCACTCATGTCATCTCTCTTGTTGTATTAACTTATTTCATCTGCTTTTCACAATGCCATGGGTCAGTTTGATGTGTCAAAGCTTGATGTGTGTCCACATTTATGTCAAGGCCCTGTTTGAAACTCAATTGTAAACAGTTAAGGTTTTAAAAATATTCTCCCAAATAAGTTTCATAAGTAGAGGTCAGACTGGATGAGATTAGCATGGTTTAATATTTCTGGAGATCACATACTGTACCATCTGGTGTGTTACTTAGGTGGTAGACTGTGCAGGCCCAGTGAATGGCAAACGTGCAGCATGGAATTTGTGATTTTTATTCACTGTTTCTCCAGTTTTGTACTGATTGAGTTCAGGACCAGATAGAAGCACTTTAACTTACCCAAAGGTTTAGTATTTTAACAGCTCAATCATACCCAGCAGTCCTTGATTGTGGAACAACAGAGGAATTCAAACAAAGGCACATTCATGTCATTTTTTTGCCTTTATAAAGCAAGGTTTTCAAATTACTGCTGCCAAATTTAGTTTTTTTTTGCATAAGGTGACCTTAAGCTGTTGTATTACCTGATAGCTTGTGCCATGATTGCTGTTATATTCATTTGTTTGAATCAGTGTTGTAGTGAAGTCTCAAGTCTCCAGTGTTTGAGTCTGAGTCAAGCCTGAATCACCAAAGAAAAGTCCGAGTTGAGTCTGAGTCGAGTCCCTGTTATGCGAGTTGAAGTCATCAAGGTCTGCATTAAACACAAGTGACACAGCTCTCACCATTTTAAAAAGAGTTCACTTGCTGTGTGACACAGTACCCAAACAAATACACACACACACACACACTGCTGGATTTGATGGGAGTGTGCTGGACACAGTATGGTGCAGGCAAACAGGTTTTAATATCAATATGTTATGCCAAATTAATCCATATAACAAAAGGGAAAAAATTCAGCCTTTGTCTTGAACTTCTGAGTCCGAATGCAGTCACTGCTCAAGTCCAAGTCGAATCACAAGTCCTGAAAAACAGAACTCGAGTCAGACTCTCAAGTCTGAGTCCTCGACTTGAGTACTACAACACTGGTTTAACACTTCTGATATTTTAATTACAAGTGGCTGATGCATTGTTTGCAGATAGATGCTCATGTATCTTATCTTAAACGGTGTATGTAGGTCTGGACGCCAGCTAGAGTTAAGTCTTGATCATGGTTTCTAGCTCCATGCGTAATTTTTTGCTGATGCAGTTGTTGAAAACTGTAGGCAGCTCAATTTACTGAGTAATTTGCAGACATTACTACGAGGACAGTGGCTCACTGCAGTTTCATTTTCATGTTTTTTTCCCTGTGTCACCAGAGTTTTGGACCAGTGCTCATTCATTTACTCTCACTGCATAATAATCCTCCTCCTCTGTTCCTCCTCAGAGCTCCTTGTCTCAGCCTTGAGGAGGCACCAGCATGAGTCAGGAGTCACTGGAGTCTGGTAAGGATGACTTTGTGGACAGCTGCAGAAAAGGAGGAAGGTAAAATGCTGGAAAGCAGATTGGAAAAGAGAAATGGATTTTGTGTATTCCAGATGGAGACTCTGCTCAGGATGTATGTGACTTCAACTGGGATGACTACCTGGAGGAGTCTGGAACCGTGTCTGTGCCCCATCACGCCTTCAAACATGTAGGTGTTGGCAGCATTCACAGCTCACGCACACCTGTGGATGGCTATTCATTATTACTAACTAAGCTTAGGGGTGTAAAGTGCTTACTAAGTTTCAGGTAACTGCTAGTTAGTTTCACTCTGTTAAATCTGAAAGCATGACTCAAATGTATGGAATGCTTCAGCAAGTAGCAATGTCTAAGAAACAGTTGTAGCTGCATCCAGCCATAAAGAATTAACAGCATAAACTCAGAAGACATGTAGTATCCCCTGTTGTAACAAAGCAGTTTTAACACATGCACAGTACCAAGTAGGTTTGTTGTGTAACCAGCTGCAAATGAGGGTCAACTACAAGTGCACAACTGAAGTTAATGATCCCATGCATCTCTGGTCTTGTGCCCATGTCTCAGGTGGATCAGGGCCTGCAGACGGGCCTTACTCCAGGCATGAAGCTGGAGGTGTGTTTACGTTCAGAGGCCGACAGCCCTTACTGGGTGGCTAACATCATCACCACATGTGGCCAGTTGCTGCTGCTGCGCTACGAGGGGTACCAGGATGACCGGCATGCTGACTTCTGGTGTGACATCATGACGGCAGACCTCCACCCGCTGGGCTGGAGCCGGCAGCATGGCAAGATCATGAGAGCACCTGAAGGTGAGGCATAGCAGGGGTTGGCATGTTTTTTTTTTTTTTTTTTTTTTTTTTTTTTTAGCTGTGAGAAGTGTTGTTTAAACTGTAAACCACCTGTTCATTTATTCATTTGAAAGGTTGCATTGTGCCTTTGCTGTTGATTTGAGTGCTCAAAAAAAAAAAAAAGGCTGACATCAACCATGAGCAGTTTTTTTTCTGAGAGCTTCAAGGATAGGTGTTTGGTGGATGGACAGTTTTCTGTACCGTGCATGTGTTGTCAAAACGCTGTTTTATGGTGGAACTCAACTAAGTAATAACATTTTGTTCATATCTAGGAGCAGTTGGTATTTCTGATCTTCTGATATGCAGCTGCCACAGTTGCCCACAGGTGAAACGCTTGGGGTTCCCTTCTGATGCGCTAGTTTGATTTCAAATTGTTCTGTTTGGAAAGAAGGCACAAGCTTCACAGTTTGTGATGCTAAATGCTGAAGGAATCTCACTGACATATCAGAGCAACTGAAATACTTGTTTTGACAGTTCAGAAGGTGGTAGCTGCAAATGACAATTAGATGACCCAGATGCAAGTTGATGACAGCATGAAAGTCCTATGATACAATCTGTTATGTATGATGATTTCCTGTAGGTTTTCTTATCCTACAGCCGATGGTGTGATTCAGGATGACTGAGTGTGAAAAGTCAGAGCAGGGTGTGTGGTATCCTGAGTCCAGCTGGTTGTTCAGCTGTCTATATATGATCCACCTCAGGTGTACGTGAGAAGCACCAGCACTGGGAGGTTCTGCTGGAAAAGGCCCTGGCTGAAGAGTGCAGCGTGCCTGCCAACCTGCTGGAATTGGTAAGGCAGGGGATGGGAGCAGCTGTCCTTCTCAGAAACAACTCATGCCCAGGGTGGGGCATTAGCTTTTGTTTATCTCTCTCTGTGCCAAGAACACTCTCCTCCTTCAGTAGTGATTTAAAACTTTGACAACTTTCAAAACACATAAAGTAGACAACTGAGTTTTTCAAAATATAGTCAGACCTTCCTCGTTATTGGTTAAGTGGGGAAGTGAGTTCAGTAAATCCTACTGACAAAAGAAGGTGATCAGAATAATGGACAGTGATTCTGCAGTCTTCAAACACAAACATGCTGTACAGTCATTTTTTTTGCTTTGCTGTTGTTTTCTACTAATGTTTTTATTGTCTTAATAAATCTCCAATGCCCATTTTGAAAATGTAAAAAGGCCAAAAACTTGTCCTTTGGAATGAATGACATTGTCCTTTTGTTTACAGCACCAAGGTTTGCTGCTGAAAGCAAATTTGCTGTAGGAACAACCTGTGAAATTCTTTTGTGCCATTAGTTAACTTTCAGTGACTGTGCCTCAGTTCTGCCACTTAGTCATGCAGCACATTTTCTCCCAGTACAAATTCTTGCCTTGCCTAGGTTTGTGTTCATTTATGTTTGTGTAAGTGTGTGTGCTATCAGCCTCTCATTTATCGCCCCTCACTGCCACCCCCCTGCAGCCCCAGCGTGGTAGAGACCCAGTGGAGCTCCTGTGCATGGGCAGCTATGTGGAGCTCCAGGACAACATTGACCCGGGGCTGGCCTGGGCTGCTGAGGTGAAGGAGAACGTCGGGGGGAGGCTGAAGCTGCGCCTGGTAGGCACCGAGGGCCTCCCAGACACACCTGCAACCCTGTGGCTCTTTTACCTCCACCCACGCCTCCACCCACCTGGCTGGGCCAAAGAGCACAGCTGCACCCTCAGGCCTCCATCAGGTCAGTGGCACTGGTCAGGTTTTATATTTAGAAACAAAAGGAAACATGATTTCTATGTTTCTAGATCTCCTACCAAAACAAGTAAGAATTTCTGATGGAAGGGCACAAGAAAGATCCACACGGCTGTCATGGACTGGATGCATGTCATTTTAGATTTATAAAAATTCACTGCATCACATCTCATGTGTAGTCACAAATATAGTAAGAAACCAAACATCTCAGGTTTATTCCGACTTGCTCAATTAGATCCATCATTTTTTAAAATTTGTTGCATTGTGTCACTTATATTAGTATTTCCCAATACAAGTACATAATGATGAGTTACAAGAGACCGAATGTGATGATGTCCTACTGGTAACCTGAGGACCACTGTCATGCAGTAGATAAACCAGATGGGCACAGTTTTAACCCTGAAAGTCACATTGGGTTTTCTAAATGTTGTATATTTGAATGAATAAGATTATTCACAAACAATAAGTAATAAGATTATTCACAAACAATAAGTAATACATGGAAAAACGTCCTTCAGTGAAACTACATTTTTGAGTGCATGGTCAGGGGCCACCTGCAGTGCCTTCAAGGACCACCAGGAGGCCAGGAACCAGCGGTAGGAAATGCCTTGCACTAGACCTTGAAATTGATTTTCCATGCAGGATTAGCTAGATCATTGTTTTCAGGGCCACAATCTGTTAATACTCCTCCAATGAATAAAGTTTGATAATGCAAGATGTAAGAAGCATCAGATGCCGCATCTCTCTCCCGACACAACTGGCCTTTGTTTGATTGAAGCTTTTATCTCAACTTATTTTTTTTTCATACTTGAATACTGTGCTTTTGCAAGATAAGTGAGAAGTAAACCAGATTTTTAAATCTTTGTCTTTTTATATTGTATTTTATTCTTTCATAAAGTAATGGGGAATAATAACTGAACATTAGCCTTATTTATTTTGCCCTTCACTTGTCACTTGGAACCTAGTGTCATGTGATAATAAGTGCTGTGGCTGCAAAAATCTTGCTTTTTTTGCTTGTTTAATTAATTGTGTGGTCATTTTGGATGGGGTAGATCAAACAACCTAACATTCAGATATAAATCCAGGCGCATAGGGTGTAGAGTAGAGAGTAAAAGTCAGTCAAGTGTGCATTTTGATCAATATCTCCTTGATAACCAAGTGGTATCCCAGTCAGGTTTTGCTCTTCAGCAGCTGATTTGTGTGTATTTGCTTTGTTTCAGATCTGTTGGCGCTGCGGACTGAGGATGAGTGGGAGGAGGTGAAACAGAGGATCAGTGACCTGCCTCAGGATGAAGCTCTGACTGCAGAGTTCAGTAAGGTACTGCACCTGTGCTCTTATTTGTCCTTCCTGATGCAAACATTTTTTTTCTGCTTGTTAAGATTTGATAATTATGCATTTAGCAAAAGGCTGTGATGTTCCTCTTCAAACTGGGTGCTCAAACATTTCTAATAAAAATGACTATGTACTGCATGTGTGTGTTGTGTGGTTTAGGATCAACCTACCATTGCTGCTCATTGTTTCAAGAAAGGGATGAAGCTGGAGGCTGTTGACCCTGCTGCTCCTATTTCCATCAGACCTGCCACTGTCGCCAAGGTAACAGACTTTCTCTGCTGTACTGCAATGTTTTTTTCTCCTGTTTGTTGTTATTGGACTTAGTTGTTTGTACCTTTTATCTCAACCTGTTCATTTGCAGCTAGGACGTTCTCACCCCACATGCTTCAGTGTGGCTCAAACGCTATGTGTTTGAATTCAAAACTAGCCCAACATATCATCCTGACATCAATTTGACACAGTCTTTAGTGTGATTCAGATGGTGAAAACATGACAGCTGTAAAATAAGCCTGTGTGGAAGTGTCTCAAAATGTCATGCCCTCTTTTTTTCAGGTGTTCAATGAGCAGTACTTCCTGGTGACCATGGATGATCTTTGTGGTATTGAGGAGTCAGAGGCTACAGGGCGGTCCTTTCTGTGCCACAGAGACAGTCCTGGGATCTTCCCTGCTCAGTGGAGCCTTAAAAATGGGCTCCCTCTGAGCCCCCCACCAGGTCTGTTCTGTCAAATGTTGACCCTTTTTATAACCACTTGCTTAATCAGTTATCAGTGAAATCAGAAGTAAAAAATGACTTTGCTCTCTTTGTCTTTGTTTTTTATGTGCATTCCCATTTGCCTTTGCTTCTCTCTTTATGTCAATTCCTCCTTTTATTTCAACATGGACAGGATACCAGGGTCCAGACTTTGACTGGGCAGATTACCTGAAACAGTGTGAGGCAGAGGCTGCTCCTCAGCATTGTTTCCCAACTGTAAGTCAACCTTTGTTTTAGGCTTAAGTGTGAAGAGTTATCCCGTCCCAGCAACAGATGCCGAAGCTCAGAATTCTGGCTAGACTCACACCTGTAACATAGGCTGTACAGTGCAAAAGAGGCAATGCAAGACGAGCCCAAATGACAACTAAATGTGACTGTTTTTACATTAGCGAGGTCCGCATTAGATACCGTATAAGCCATAATGTAATGAGCGTGCATGAGTTAATTTAATTTTCAATTCCCATAAGCAACCTGTCACAGCTTAAAGCCTCCTTCTCATTACTTGGGTTGCATTATCCAAGCAGCAATGTAGACTAATAAAGAGATTTTTTTAATGAAACAAAATAAATCCTTTATAGTTTATTGGTTCAGCTTATGTGTGTGTGATGTAATGTAATGGGCAGATAATTCACAATTTAAAAGAAGAGACAAAATTGACAACTTCCTCTGAAAGAAGCATGGCAGCCTTTACATTTTGCCACCTACCACGTGCTGCTTCTTGTGTAAACAGCCTAATAGGCTGAAAATCACTGGGTTCTGTGCAACAAGAGATCACGACTCATGTCAAGAAACAGGTTGAGCATGGTTAGTGCTGTAATATGTCATTTTTCTACAGCAGATTATTCACAGCCTTGTAGTTTTACATTCCTTCTATGCAGGAAGACAGATTTTACAGTAACACCAAGTCAAAATGTGGGAAAAAGACTCGGCCCACTTGACTGACAGATTGATCAAATGCCAGTGATGAGGCCGTGTCTTCACAGTGTGGTGGGTTCTAAACAGCTGGCATGCTATGACCTTTCGCCCTTTCACTAAAGAATCAGAATGAATCAGACTAGGCTTTATTGTCATTGCACATGGGAGTACAATGAAAGAACAGGTACTCAACAACAGTGCACCATAAAACTTTAGAGTACAATAAATATACAATTTACAATTTAAAAAGAAAAAAAGAATACACGATGTAAGTATAAACAATAGAAAAAAGAAAATAGAAATGTACAGACTGAATATGAGCTGATTTCATATTGGACAGAAATCAGACAACACACAAACATCCTCTGCTGTGAAATAGCTCTCACAAGAGTTTGTTTCCCACTCTGTTTACCTACCAGGAACAGTGTGACCACAGCTTCAAAGAGGCCATGAAACTGGAGGCTGTCAACCCCCTGTCACCTGAGAACATTCACGTGGCAACTGTCGCCAGGGTCAAAGGGCAGTATCTTTGGCTCACCTTGGAAGGTGAGATGGGATACTGAAGCGATGTTTTTAAAATTAATTATCATCATCATCATCAACTTTATTTATATAGCACATTTAACACAGCAACAGCTGACCAAAGTGCTTAACACAAAACACAATAATAAAACAAAATTACAATGAAACAACCACCCATCATCTGAGTATTATTTCTGCGCAGCCCCATAGCACACTGACGACCATGACACATAGTGCATTAACCTGTGTGGATCAATTCTGAATTTCCTAGCTTGTAATTTAGTGGCTGTGGGAGACATTGATTATAGTAAATCACACTAGTTCATACACAAGATCACTGCTTTGAAGATTATACAGTCTCTTAGAGAGGCAGAAATGTGTCACACTCCTCAGACACCATATTTTAACATTCTGCTACATTTCAAACACCCAGAAACTCTTTACCAGGGCTTTGATTAGACTTAAAAGAGGGGTTAGTAGGAGGAGCATTCAGAAACCAGATTTGCAGTGTAATTTTGTTGACAACATTTATCTCTTTGAGTAAGAAACTGACTAGGAGATTGGTTTTTGGGGCCTTCTGGGTGTGTAAATATAGTTAAATTACAGAAATTGAAGTGAACATTGACAGAATTTTGGAAATATCCTTATAAAGTTCATTTTTAAATTAGCTTTAACATGTTATTTGGTGTTTTCACTGATGGACATGTGAGTAGAAGAAAATCATTTGAAGCATTGTGTGACATTTTTTATGGGACATTTTGTTTATACACTGCAGATACAACATGGGCATTTATAAAATGTAAATGGGTTATCTTTGCACTAGTAAAAGACTGTGATATGTGTGATACAGTAGATACTTGCATTCATGCAAAAAGTAAATTTAGAACCTGCATGTTTTATCTTTGTTGTAAAAGGTACTTACTATATATCTCTGATTAGTTTTTGTCTTAAACACAACATGCCATCGAGTTATAAGAAGTAGTGCCACTTCTAGTTGCTCTAGCAGAATTTTGCATCCACACCAGTGTAGGAATGTAGCATGTGATATTCTTAATGCTGCTCACTGCACTGGCAGTGGTTTTCTAATGATGCTGTGTTTGTGTCCAGGACTGAAGCAGCCCGTGCCAGAGCTGATAGTTCATGTGGACTCTCTCGACATCTTCCCTGTCAGCTGGTGTGAGACAAACGGCTATCCGCTTGTCTACCCATTCAAGCCCTCAGGTATACAGCAAACTCTTAAGGTCTTTAGATCTCTGCTTTACTGTTACAACAAGCATAATACAATTTTTTAACCCCGCCCTCCAAATGAGTGACATAATCTAAAGTATGACAGTGCACACATTTATCTTCCCTTGTATTTCAGTTGAGAAAGAGAGAAAGATTGCTGTGGTGCAGCCAGAAAAACAGTGAGTATGAGAGGAGGGTTGAGGTATTGATTGATTTGTTTTAAATGGATTAAATCCAGCAGCTTTTCAACATTTGACTCAGTTTCTCTCTCTTTACAGCAGAACTTCACCTAAGTCTTCATCACCAGACATGGTTAAGCAGCAGATGGCCAGCCATTCAGAGACAGGTGAGTGATATGTCTCAGATCTTATTGTAAGGTCCCATGTAACATATTTTTTGGCTGTCTGTGTAGTGTATCATTGTTCCATCACATGTATCTCATTTTGTGAACAGGTGCTGGGCAGAGCAACGGTAAATACTGCTGTCCTAAGATCTACTTCAACCACCGCTGTTTCTCAGGGCCTTACCTCAACAAGGGACGCATTGCAGAACTGCCTCAGTTCATCGGCCCTGGAAACTGTGTCCTTGTGCTCAAAGAGGTGAGGAGGCGATTTTAGCTGTTTTCCATATGAATAACACAAAAGAAATCCTTCAACACAAACATGATGGTTGACGGTGGTGGGTCCAGCATTTTTTTTTTTTTGCCACGCGAACAGTGTGCAGCATGGGAGGCAGTGTGGGAAACACTAATGCACATGTGCAGTGGGCTGTACAATGCAGAAGCAAACCTGGAAGCCACAAAACTTTTTTTGAATCAGTTTTTCTAATCCACAACACAGGTGGGGGTTGAAGAGCCAAAATATCTGGATAACCTTAGCTGGCATTAGAAAATCCAGGATTGCTCATTTGATCTCGGATCCATTTAGCGATATACTAAGAACACCAACCTGGTCTCAGAATTAATATGGTGACTTTGTTTATAATGCTACAGATAGCACCATTAACAAATAAAAGACCTAACCCTTGAACCTACAGATAAACTAAAAGTGATTTCTCTGCATGTCTTGTATCCAGGTATTGACACTGCTGATAAACTCAGCATACAAGCCCAGCCGTGTGCTGAGAGAGCTGCAGCTGGACCAGGAGAGCCGCTGGCAAGGCCATGGAGAGACACTCAAAGCCAAGTGAGGGGAAACACCAGTTAATCCTCAGTTTGAAATTCTCTGCTCTTTAGAAACCTGCAGGAACAGTACAAGTGTTCACAGCTGGCCTATTGTAGGACACAAGCAGGATTAAAAATATGCTTGAATACACAAGTGGAAATAAATATCTGCACACTGGAAACATGCTCCTGATACTACATTAATGCAGTGATTTATCCAACAGCATAAGAAAGTTCTTGCTGGTTGTTGCAACCTTGTTAGATCACACATGAATATAACAGGGGCTCAGATGCGTGGTAAGAGTCAGATACATTTTTTCTGTGTTTTTGAAAGCTGCCCATCATTTATTTAACCTGGTATTCTGTAGAAGTATGAAAAATTACTTTCACAGCTTGTTCACTTTCCAAAATTGGTTTTCCTCAAATATCAGGTACAAAGGAAAGAGTTACCGGGCCACTGTGGAAATCGTTCGCACTGCAGACCGTGTAGCAGACTTCTGCAGGAAGACCTGCATCAAGTTAGAATGCTGCCCGAACCTGTTTGGACCTCGCATGGTTCTGGAGCGCTGCTCAGAGAACTGCTCTGTCCTGACCAAGACCAAATATAGTAGGTGGTTTACAGAACTACCTTTAAATGATTTATCAGATAATCGGTGAAGACAAGAACATGTCAGTGGTTTACAAGTCTGGATACTTGCTTTTCAATTGTGGCCTTAATTCTAAACATTATTCAAGCTTGCCCTCATTTAGCACAAACTCGTGAATTTCTGCTTTTTCAGAAACCTTGAGTTCTTTTCATTTGTGTTCATAGAAATGATCAATGAGTATATAAAAGCTTCTTTAGTGAATACAGAAAATGAGAGTGATAGAACTTGTAATTTAAAAACTGCAATTACAAAGCTTCCACAGGCATTGAAGAAGCAGTTAGTCTTTGCAGAAAATAAGGGTCCGAATTGGTTTCTTTTATCTTCTCCTGAACTGCGTGTGTCACCACAGAGTTGCAGCTTTGTTTACTGAAGCTGCACCACCATGTTGAGGTTTGGAAACTGATGCGATCTGATAGCGACAGACAAATTACTCTTTTGTCTCATACAGTATGCATTCATGTCAGTCCAGACACCACATTGTCTCCACTAAACCACTTTACCAGCTTATTTATCAGTGCTTTTCTGTTAAGAAATTATCAAAAATAGAAGCATTAGTCTCTTTGATCACTTGGTTACAATTGCAAAATTTCTATCTATCCCAGTGACATTAAAATCCTTCAGATATGCCAAATGCAGCATTATACAGTAAGTCTGTCTTGTCACCAGCATATTACTATGGAAAGAAGAAGAGTAAACGGGTTGGTCGTCCACCCGGGGGCCACTCCAACCTGGAGGGAGGAGTAAAGAGAAGAGGGAGGA